GTAAAGTGAGACAAAACTTTCATCAGGACTCTGAGGCCGGGATTAATAAACAGATTAATCTGGAACTACACGCCAGCTATGTATACGAACAACTGGTATGACTTCCCCTCTCATTATGCATTTCATATTGAATTTTTCTGTGATACACAGAATCTGTATACAAATAACATTTATAAATCCAGTAATCAAAGCATATACTTAAACTCTACTTTCATATTTTACTGGAAAATACAATTTAAAATTAACATAGTCATAAGATAATAAGGTTGAATTATCATTGTTTATTGAAAACCTTTATAATAACTATATTATTTTCTCATAGAATATTCTGTATAAATATACTTTAAATACCAAACTCATGAACATGATCATTTTTGTTGTCAATCTGTTAGGCCTGGAACTTTGACCGGGATGACATAGCACTGGGAGGTTTCCACGAGTTCTACAAGACCAGGGCCGGGGAGGAACGGGATCACGCCAGGAAGCTCATGGAGCACCAGAACAAACGGGGCGGTCGTATCGTATTGCAGGACATCGCCAAACCTGTCAAACAGGACGGGTGGACACCATTGGAGTCGATCGAAGCGGCCCTACAGTTGGAGCGCACCGTCAATCAGGCGCTTCTGGACCTCCAGGCGATCGCCGCCAAGACTAACGACCCGGAGTTGACTGACTTTATTGAGAGTCACTACCTTCACGAACAGGTGGACGACATCAAGAAACTCGGCGATCACGTGACTAACTTGAAACGGGTGGGCCCGGGTCTCGGGGAGTACCTCTTTGACAAAAAGACCCTCAACTAATACATGAGCATAACTCGTGTACAGTATTCACTTGTTTTATAAATAATAATTCTGTGAACAGAATGCTTACAAAGTTTTACTGTAATCTTATTTACGATTAAAATTTTAAAAATATTTATATCTGGTGTTCATTATTTATTTTATAAACTCGTTTCAAAAGAATACAAAGTTATAAATACCGGCAAACAATAACTTAACTTTTTTTAAAGCCATAAATTGTGATAATTTATTAATCATAATTAGTCTATTAACCATTTTACATTAAAGTTTTAGCTAATTAAATTGTCCATTGTAGAATTTACAACATTGTCCACGTTAATAACTAATAACTCGATAAGTTCACAATGAAATTCCAAATATTTACAATGGTATGAACAATATAAATGATTATAAATTATAAGTTTTCATTTAACCATTTAACGTGCAAACAATTAAAGATACATGCTGATTAATTGAGTTATTTTTCATAACGTCATAGTATTTGTAATTACAATGCCTAATCCAAACTAAAAATAAGCTTTGCAAAATAAATGCAAAATAATGTTTTTAATCAATTTGAAATAACCTATGTTTGTATTTATACAACTGTATAAACATAATTGAATAAAATAATTAAATAAAGTTTTCAAAGTAATTATTTTGAAGTCTGAAACAGTATAACAGTATAATTCAATACAAATATGAATATCTGAAAATAAATAAACTAGTTTTAATAATAACTTATTATAAAAAATAGCAAGACTTTATTCACCTTGATAAGTGTGGATTTATTGAGTGCAGCGATCCCTCCGATAGTGAACCCAAATGTACGCGTATTTCGCATTACAGTCGCAAACGTAAGCCATTCCCTAAACTCCCTGTCCGTCATATCCCGGGTATTCATCGCATCCAAAACTATCCTAACATTCATTACTTTGCTGTCAACTGATCCACAGATATAACACAAACCAATCAAACGAATTATATTTGAAATCGTAATTAAAATTAAAAATTTATATAACAATGGTTTTTGTGTGAAATTATTAATATTGACCAGGGTGTACACGCCAAACATAAGTAAAAATATTGTATTTACGATTTTAATTGCTAAAACATTTGAGTAATATGAATCCAATTTTTGATTTACTTTGCGAAGATTTAATATCATATTTTTATTATCAGTTATGAAACCTATAAAATCATACAATTTTATAAAATTACCCATGATAATCATTTAAAAATCAAATTAAATATACATTTAAATATAATATATATACATAATTTTAGACCTGGTTTTATTGATTTTTCAACTTTATCCAAAATTACACCAAATTGGTAACATGCCCAACAAATGAGCCAGTCAATTGCCCATATGTTAACAAACGTTACTGTCATCTGAATAGGCAATAAGATTTTATCTACTTTATTTATCTGATAGATAATCATTTCAAATGTGGTTGCCACACTAAGTATAAACTCAATTGCCAATACCACGAGTATAATAATATAGAATTTGTAACATGATAAATCTTCGTACTTTAATAAAAGTTTGATTAAGATTTTTAAGGTTTTCTGACCATGCTTAATGATCGCTACTATCATACTCCATGTGTTAATACAATTAATAAGAANTAATTGTGATGTTATGTTCAAACACTGTTGAAGCCTTAACACCAATGGTTGTGATTATGACTTTTGCAACAAAACTACCGGCGCTTATATACCGTTCAGATGCCGGTGTGAAGTAACAGGTGTTAAGTGGTCGGGTATTATGGTGTTGAGTGCATACAAAAGCACAGGTACTTGAATAGTGCTTATTCTGATTATTATACAAGTACAATTCAATAACATGACAAAAACTCAATTATTAATAGTGTTTAATTGGATGTTTGAATTAAATGACAGTGCAATGCAATGCTAACGGTGCGATCGCAGACTTAAAATGCATTTCATCTCAAAAAATACACAATAATCATGATATTTGTTAAGGATTTTTATATTTTAGAAAATATTTGTTAATTATTTGTTGCCTATTATCCTTGAAACTCTAGTTTCCAATACTTTATATTAAAATTTGTAGTGTTATATTAAATTTCGTAATTTTAATATTTAAATTTAGAATGGACATAACTCAAACTATACGAGGCCAATTATATCCGAAGGAATTAAATACTGGGCATGTCGAATACGCCCTGGACTACCAGCCCCTTGAGTGTGATCGTATTTTGATAACGTACCCCAAATGTGGCACCAATTGGTGCCGGTATACCATATTAGCGATTATGGGTTTCGGTCGCATTCCGGATCATTTAAAATCAAGCAGTAGGCAGACATTTCTAGAGAGACTGGGCTCCGGTGTGTTGGCGCCCCGGAAGGGTCTGGACTCAGAAACCAACTTTTTTCACACCCACACCCGACAACTACTGTCCCATAAATCGGAGGCCAAGTATTTAATAGTATTGCGAAATCCAAAAGACGTTTCCGTTTCTCTCTATTACTTCATGAAAAGTATCTATAGATTGGAAATGGATTTTCACGAGTTCTTTAAGATATGGACCGCCGGTAATGGTATG